CAGGGTTAAAAGTATTTTTCAGTAAGATATAAACGTAACGCTGTCTCTACAAACACGGAGAGAGGAAAGTTAAAGAAAGAAGAATGGAAATTTAAAGGCAAATGAATTAACGTTAAGAGGTTTCAGCTGGGTCATCGGCGTGAATCCATTGTGAATCGAGCTGGTGGTTTTGCTGCGATGAATCGGCGACCAGGCGTGTCTGACACGTGGCGTCCAGAGGCGCTGTGGTAATTAAAGGAAGGAACCAAAGCCGCGATTCCAATCACGAACCGAATTTTGTATTTCCCGTGATTCTCAGCGTAAACAGCGATTACTTACCGAAAAACCATTTACGAATATAACGTAATGAGTATGATTAGTGTTTTCTTTGAGGTACGTGCTGTATTTTTAAATGTAAGTCAGATGAGTTTCTAATTCAAGAAGGTTAAAAATGTGTAGTGCTGTATCACTGCGCTCCAGGCGTTATGATTGACAGCCACCAGTGGTTTTTAAATTGTGGCCTGTAGATGTCATGCTTGTCTTCTTGTTACGTAATCAATCAGGGGGCGAAGGCGTCGACTATAAAGAAAAGAAAATTGAGTTTTTATAAGATCGATCTTTCTTGTCCTGCTAATAATTAGAAGTGACAATAATAATAAAACAAGTACGATGCGATAGACGTAAAATGTACCCTCACCCATAGGAGACCCCATTGTATGTGCAAAGTTTCAGAAGGAAGAACCTGAAGGGAAGAGAACACTTGGTGGACCAAGTCGTAGATGCGATGATAATATAAAATTGTGTCTTAAAAATAGGATTCATATAGACTGCGTTTATTTGGCTCAGGATAGGTTTCGCAGATGGCAGGAAATTTCTTTATCAACTGAGCGACTGTCATCTTTTGAAGGGGTACTCTTTTTAATAATATTAATAATAATATACATTCCTCCCCGTAGACCGCCGCAGAAAACGACAGCAGATATAATTCTTGTTGCCACGCAGTTCAGAATTTTCTATCTTACGATCTCGTGGCCTACTTAAAAAACTAGGCATTGAAATGCTATAACGTTACGTTATGTTTGTTTTATATGTGTACGAGACCTGAACTCACACCCTAAGGGGACAATATAGCTTCCAGTGCTAGTTCTTATACATCTATTAACTGGAAAGAAATTGTCTTCTCTTCGTTGAATTAAAATTCCGCGTCGAGGCGGCGTCTCGCGATCTTCTCTGCATATCACAGAATACCTCGTCATTCTACTTCTGTCGTCTGCTGTAAGTGCGTTGGCCTGTAAATCCACGGAAACTCGACGCTTTCCGTGTGGATAGTAACTGGTGATTTTGCTGTGGGCCATTCCAGGCCTGCAGATACCA